TCAAGGATTCTTGTGCCTCAGCCTCCAAGTAGCTGGGATTACAGGTGTGTATCAGCACACCCGGCTCATTTTTGTATTTTTAATAGAGACGGGGTTTCACCATGTTGGCCAGCCTACTCTGGAACTCCTGACCTCAAGTGATCTGCCCGCCTTGGCCTCCCAGAGTGCTGGGATTACAGGTGTGAGCCGCTGCACCTGGCCCTAATAGGGGAACTTCTGATGGGTGGTATCATCATGGTGCTCCCCCAGGGAGAAGGAAAAGTACCATGGAAGCCAGGGCCCTGGGCACAGGGCCTGCAAGCAGAACCATCTTTCCGGGCACTATCTGGGTTAGAAGGAGACAAAGCTAGGCAGGAGGAGCATCCTGCAGTCTCAACTTTGATTCCTGGTTCCTCCCTTGGTGCTCGGTATTCTGTGTAGATGCTCTGGGGCCAGGCTTGGTGCCCCGTGCCTATAATCCCAGCATTTGGAAGGCCGAGGCTGGTGGATCACTTGAGGTCAGGAGTTCGAGACCAGCCTGGCCAACATGGAGAAACCTGTCTCTACTAAAAAAAAAGTACAAAATTAGCCCTGTGTGGTGGTGCGCACCTGTAATCTCAGCTACTCGGGAGGCCTGAGGCAGGAGAATCACTTGAACCCAGGAGGCAGAGGTCACAGTGAGCCAAGATCACACCATTGAGCATTGCACTCCAGCCTGGGCAACAAGGGTGAAACTCCGTCTCAAAAAAAAAAAAAGCTCTGAGCAACTCCAGCTAGTGGTGCCTGGGCATGTCTGGGAGGGTGTCAGGCACCGCAGCCCACGCCTGGCAGTCACAGTGGCTTGAGTGTGCCTTTCACTGCCTTCCCTGAAAGGGCAGGGCTCCCACCTTAAGGAGAAGCTGAGGGAGAAGCCATGGAACATCCACAGACTTCGGGTTGGGGAGGAAAACATTATTTTTGTGGTTAAATACACCTAGCTGTATTCCAGACAGAGGAGAAAGCCTCTTGTGTGTTTTATGATAGGGTCTGGCTCTATTCATTCGGTCCCTGCTGCCCATTTTACAGATGGCAAGACTGAGGTACTGCGCAGAGGTGGGACGTGTAAGGTTCAGAGAGGAGACCATCTCGGAAGACGGGAGGGCAGAGAAGACAGCACAGAGTTCAGGTGGGTAGTCAGCCCAGACGCTGACCCACCAGCCTGAGGGCAGCAGGGCCCGGGCACTGGGAAATAATCCCCCTCTCCGTAACTGGCATCCAAGTTCTCTTCCAGCCCTGACAAGGTTGCAGCTGTTCTTACCGCCCAAGGACCTTGCCTGAGTCAGCGGTCCCCGCCAGACCTCCCCGGCTGGGGCTGCCTTTGCTCCACTTCTGTGACTCTTCCCCTCCCACGGAGATGAGCAAATCAACGAAAGCCACAGACTGTGAGGTCAGATGTCCGGCCGAGGAGCGAGGACACGGTCTTTCCTCTGCTGCCCCTTGGGTTGTACATCTTTAGAAAGAAAAACGGGCCGGGCGCGGTGGCTCAGGCCCGCAATCCCAGCACTTTGGGAGGCCGAGGCGGCTGGCTCACCTGAGGTCAGGAGTTCAGGACCAGCCTGACCAGTGTGATGAAACCCCGTCTCTACTACAACACAAAAACTAGCTGAGAACCGCTAGAACCCGAGGCAGAGGCTGCCGTGAGCGGAGATCACGCCCCTGCACTCCAGCCTGGGTGACAGAGAGACTCTGTCTTAAAAATACATAAATAAATAAATAAAATTAAATTAAAAAGGAGAGAAACTGCTTTTCGGGGAGCTGGCTTTCTGGACGCGAGTCTGCGGGTGCTCCACAGGCAGCTGAGTAAAGGCTCTTCCTTACTGCAGCGTCTGAGGGGTCCTGTCAGCGGCTCGTCCTGCAACAAGGTCACCGGCCGGGCAGGACGGTCCCCAAGCATGGGGTTAACGACACACGCGCAGGGCGGCCCACGTTTTTCAGAAGAGGAACCGGAGGCTCTGAGGGAAAGCTGACCTGCCGGGTTGCAGGGTGCACGCGTGCCAGGGCTGAGACGGGAGCCCAGTGCCAGGGCTGAGACGGGAGCCCAGTGCCAGGGCTGAGACGGGAGCCCAGCTGGGACTCCGGAGCCACAGGCTTCCCACAGCGACCCCAGCCCTGCACCGCACAAGTCCCGCGCTCCAGGAGCACCGGCCGCGTGCCAGGGCCTGAGTCCCAGAGAGCCACGGGAGGGCAGGCAAGGGAGGCCTGCAGAGGGAGGAGGCCTGAGCCTCCAGAGGTGACATCTCACCCGGGCCTGCAAGGATGGTCCTCACCCAGCAGGGCCAAGCGGGGCCCAGAGCAGAGCGACAGGAAGGGGCTGCCCCTCTTGCGGTGGATGATGGCCGCAGCCGGCCCTGTGCCCTGCACCCACACCCACTGTCTGCCCCTCACAACGGTGCCCTGGGCAGGGGCCAGGGGCTGGGTGCACGCTGGGTGATGCCAGGTGGCACAGGCAGTTGGGGTGCAGGTGGGAGGTGGCCTCGGGCCTCCTGACCGCCCCCCCGCTGTGCTCTTTGCCCTTCCCCATCATCGCCAGCACATTTTCTGTCTCTTTCTTTTTTTTTTTTGAGACTGAGTCTTGCTCTGTAGCCCAGGATGGAGGGGCAAGATCTCAGCTCACTGCAACCTCCGCCTCCTGGGTTCAAGCGATTCTCCTGCCTCAGCCTCCCAAGTAGCTGGGACTACAGGCACCCACCAATTTTTGTATTTTTTCGGTAGAGACAGGGTTTCATCATGTTGGCCAGGCTGGTCTCGAACTCCCGACTTCAGGTGATTCACCCCCACCTCGGCCTCCCAAAGTGCTGGGATTATAGGCGTGAGCCAACATGCCTGGCCATAACAAGCACATTTTCTACCACTCTTGAGGCTGGGTCAGCCTGGCTTCCAGTTCCTGGCCCCACTGGACCCACAGCTCAGGCCCTGAGGTTGGGGTGGTCATGGTAGCTTTTTTTTTTTTTTTTTTTTTGAGACGGCGTTTTGCTTGTTGCCCAGGCTGGACAGCGATACAATTTCCGCTCACTGCAACCTCCACCTCCCAGGTTCAGGCAATTCTCCTGCCTCAGCCTCCTGAGGAGCTGCGATTACAGGTGTGCACCACCACGCCCAGCTAATTTTTTGTATTTTTAGTAGAGACGGGGTTTCATCCTGTTGGCCAGGCTGGTCTTGAACTCCTGACCTCAGGTGACCCACCCACGTCAGCCTCACAAAGTGCAGGGATTACAGGCGTGAGCCACCGTGCCCAGCTCAGGTGGCTTGTTTAACTGAAAAGCCCCAGACCCCTCCTCAGCCTGCCCCTCTGGCCTGGGCCCTCCTGGACCCTCAATCAATTCAGGAAGTCCTGGTTTTGCTGACCCAACCCAGTCTGGGGGACACACCCCACCTGTCACTGCAGTCAGAGCCAATGAAACCAACCCCCATGAGGGGGCCCGGCCACTGTCCTTGAGCTAGGGCTTCTGACAAAGGCTGGGGATGGCGCTTTCCAGCCATCCATGAAGCCTGTCAAGAGGACGGGGCCGACACAGCTGCTCATCTGCAGAAGCTGCTTCCATCCCCTGGTTGGCTCAGGAATAGGTTTCTCATCTTACTGACGGGGAAACTGAGGCTCGGGATGCAGCTAACGAGCCATGGGGAGGGGAGGGGGGGTGACTCTGCAGCCAGGGGGCTTGGGACCCCAGAGGGACTGTATCTGAGGCCGGCTAGAGGACCTGCCTTGGGGGGTCCTCAAGGGTCCATGAGTTGCCCTTTGTCGGACATGAGGCGGGGCGGGCTGGCAGCGTGGACACGGCCTCCTGGCTTCCCCCTCCCCCCGCCCTCCTGGGGGCACTGGGCGTGGGAGGACAGCTTTGCCCAGCCACTTGGCCCTGTCCCCCGAGGGGGCTCTTCATTCAGATCTTCGCGGCAGTTTCTGGTTCTGAGTAACCCAGGTCGGGCCCTCTGTCTTGTGGTTCTGGGCGTGGGTGGCAGATGGGGTGGGGGCCGAGGCAAGAAGCCTCTTCCTTAGGAGCGGGGGCTGCCAGGTGGCCCTCAAGGGGGGTGACTATCTCCACTACAAACTCTGTCGCTCCCCAGGCACTGGCTTGGCCCATGGGGATTTCCCCAGACTCAAGAGGCAGACTGACAGGAAGGGGCTCTCCAGGGCTTCATGCAGGGGTAAGGCAGGAGGGTGGCCACGTGGTTAGAAGCTCCCAGCTTCTTGTAGGGAGCCTGGGCATCAGCTGCCACAGTGTCTGAGAGGAGGGGCAGGGGACCCAGGGGCCTCCTGAAGCCTCCTGAGTGAATGAAGGCAGAGGCCGGCTTCCTGGTGGACGCTGCTGTCCTTAGAGACCAGGCTCAGGTCACACGCACACACTCACCCTTCACTGAGTCTGGGATGATCTTCCCTTAAGCCTGGTCTGGTTGGCCAACTTCTATTCATCCTGCAGAACCCTTCCCGGGGTGAACTAATCCACCAAAGTCTTCTCCATAGCCCTGCCCCCCTACACATCTGTGTTTGGAGGACAGTACTGTCCAGGCCACCCACTACAGTGGGCACGTTCCCTAGGGGGCTCAGAGAGTCCTCAGGAGGCCCTGCAGAATGAGAGCCAACAGTTTCCTTAGGTGGTGAGGCAGGTCCATGGACCAGGGCAAGTCCATCTGACACATTCCCCACTGGTCCCCGGAGCCCTGAGCGCCAGCCTGTGGCCAGTGCACCCAGAACCCTTTTTATGAATGAGTGAACAAGAGGCTCTGAAGCCCTGCTCGGAAATGGCCATCTGCTGCTGCTCTGAAAGTCAAAAGCACAAACCCAAAGTCACAGCACGGTGTCACATCAGGGCGGACAGACACGAGGCAGGGCTGAAACGGAGTGGGGGCCCTCCAGGGCAGGGCCTTGGCGTCGGACAGACCGGGGCCAAATCTCCACTCGGCCACTAAGGGCTGTGACCCGACGCCGCGGCCCCCTCCACACCTAGGCGTCCCCACCGCCAAGCCCAGACGCAGAGAGGACCTACCTTGCTGGGCGCTGAGAGGACTCAGGAGGAGGGACGCTGCCAGGGTGGGCACAGGCGGGATCCCGGCCCACTGTCCTCCTCCGCCCTGCACCCCTGGCTGGGCTCCACACCCTCCTGGGAACCAGCTCTGAAGCCCTTCTCAGCACGAAGCTCGATGGATGCCCTAATGGCTTACACATTAGGAGGCGTTCGCATGGCCAAAGGGCAGAGGGGGCCCAGGAGCTCGAGGGCAGGTGGCTCACTGGGCTCCCCGGTGACTCAGCAGAACTCAGGCTGCAGGCTGGGTGGGAGCGGCCCCCGTCTGCACCCCGTGCGGCTGCTGGCTGATGAATATTTTATCAGGGCTCACAGAGTCCCGTGGAAGGTGCCTGCAGCCTCCAAGCCCACAGAGCACCCCTTCCTGCCCAGACAGAAGGAAATGCCCGGGGCCAAGGTGCAGGGTGAGGTCAGAGCCCACAGGGTTCGTCCCAGCCCCGATGACTTCAGGTCAGCTCAGCACACGCCCCTGAGCCCCACCCACACTCTGCTCCGCCCTGCGCTGGGTGCTGGGCTGACTGCCAGCCCTTTGGACAGCGCCCCTCCTCCTCTTCACCCCCCCGGAACACCAGTCTTCTGCCCACTGGCCTAGTCAACACGCCCCCCCCACCATTCTGCTGGCCCAGGACCACCGCCACCTCCTCCGGGAAGCATTCCTGATCCCCCCTTTCTGCTGTGTGACTGTCTGTTCTCTCTCACTCTCTTTTCTTCTTTCCTTTCTTTCTTTCTCTCTTTCCCCCTCCCCTCCCCTCTCCTCTCCTTAACACCTCCTTCAGGAAGCTTTCCTGGATTCCTCTTTCTGCTGATGACTGTGTCTGTCCTTCCTTTCTTACTTCCTTCCCTCTTTCCTTCTTTCTTTTCTCTGTCTCTCTTTCTCTCCCTCCCTCCTTCCTTCCTTTCTTCTTCTTCTTTTTTTTTTCCTGAGACAGGGTCTCACTTTGTTGTCTAGGCTGCAAAGCAGTGGCACAATCACAGCTCACTGCAGCCTTGACCTCCCGGGCTCAGGGGATCCTCCCACCTCATCCTCCCGAGTAGCTAAGACCACAAGTGCGTGCCACCACGCCCGGCTCATCTTTTGTACTTTTAGCAGGGACTGGGTCTCACTATGTTGCCCAGGCTGGGCTTAAACTCCTGGGCTCAAGTGATCTGTCCGCCTTAGCCTCCCAAAGTGCTGGGATGACAGGTGTGAGCCCCGCGCCCGGCCGCCACACGCTGGGCGCGTCACATCCCATGTCCTTGCTTACTCCTCCCAGAACCCCTGGGATGTGGGTTGCTTCTTGCTCCTCTCATTTGCTAGTGGAGCAGGAAACTGAGATGCAGAGAGGGCGAGAGCCCTGCCTGGGGTCACACAGCTTTTCACATCATTGTGCATATCCACTGAAAGCCGGCTCCCCACTGAAAGAGGCCCCACGGAAAATCCACCGGAGAGACACTGAGTAGCCGCTAAAAACCCATCGTGACGGCACCCAAGCTCCTGGGCTGCTTACAGACAGGGAAGACGCTCATAATATTACATGGCATGAAAAAAGCAGGAGAGGCCGAACGTGGTGGGTCACGCCTGTAGCCCAGCGCTTTGGGAGGCCAAGGCAGGAGGGTGGTTTGAGCCTAGGAGTTCAAAACCAGCCTGGGCAACATGGCAAAACCCCATTTTTTTTTCTTTGAGATGGAGTCTGGCTCTGTCGCCCAGGCTGGAGGGCAGTGGCGTGATCTAGGCTCACTGCAAAATCTGCCCCCAAGATTCAAGTGATTCTCCTGACTCAGCCTCCCGAGTAGCTGGGATTACAGGCGCACACCACCACGTCTTGCTAATTTTTGCATTTTTTTTTAATAGAGACAGGGTTTCACCAAGTTGGCCAGGCTGGTCTCAAACTTCTGACCTCAGGCGATCTGCCCGCCTTGGCCTCCCAAAATGCTGGGATTACAGGCATGAGCCACCGCGCCTGGCTGCAAAACCCCGTTTCTGCTAAAAAAAACCAAAAAACAAGAAACAAATAAAAAAATTTGCAGGCTGTGGTGGTGCGTGCCCGTGGTCCCAGCTACCAGGAAGCAGAGATCGCACCACTGCACTCCAGCCCGGGCGAAAGAGCGAGACGCTGTCTAAAACAAAAGCAGAAAGAAAAGAAAAACGGAAGAAGCAGGACGCAGAACCCGAGAACTGTAGGCTGGTGTGCCATGACACCGTGCGACAGGACAAATCTGGAGGGGCCAGGCTGCAGGCGGAACCAGGGCCCGTTCTCCACGCGCCGTCCAACAGGGCGACGTCCGTTTCATACTGAAAGTTTCCCTTAGAAACAGGGTTTGTCCCCCCCCGAGGCTCTCTGAGCAGCTGCTGCAGGCCCACTTTGGGGAGCATCTTTCTCCTCTCGCAGCCTCAGGTTTGGCGTGTGGAAGGCACGAGGCGGAACGTGGGCCCACCCTCTCCCGGGCATGGGTAGACCTCCCGGCCCCTCCAACGCAGCGAGGCCAAAGCCACGCTCAGGATGGTCTCCTCGTCTTCCCTTTCCACATGGGGTCTATTCACCAGGGACCATCACCACCACCTACCCGAGCCCTAAACTAACAGTCATGGAGGCTTAGAGGGTAGTGAGTTCCCCGTTACTGAGAATAATCAAGCAGGGAGCCCTGTGTCTAGCTACCAAGAAGCAGCCACAATGGACGGCTTTCTGTTCATCTAAATCAGACCCAAATGCCTTACCAGCAGGTGACCTTGGACAAGACACTGATAGCCTTGTGTTCCTCCTTCCTCATCTGGACGGTGGGATCATAACAGGACAGTGACTCCAGAGGGCCCTCAGAGGGTTAAATGAGGGCACGTAGGTAAACTTTTTTTTTTTTGAGACAATCTCACTCTGTTGCCTGGGCTGGAGTGCTGAAACTCCTCCTCCTCTTGGGTTCAACAGTTTCCTACCTCAGCCTCCCGAGTAGCAGGAATTACAGGCAGCTGCCCCCATGCCTGACTCTTTTTTTTTTTTTTTTTTTTGTATTTTTAGTAGAGACAGGGTTTCACCACGTTAGTCAGGGTGGTCTCGAACTCCTGACCTTGTGATCCGCCTGCCTCGGCTCCCTCCTGTGTTGGGATTACAGGTGTGAGCCATTGTGCCTGGCCATCTTGACATCTTTCAAACAGGGACCTGGCCCTGCCCTATCCCCATTTGACTCAGCCTATGGGTATGGCTGCAACCCAATAGCAAACTCTATATCTCTGTCCCTACTTCTCTGGGGCAGGGAAAGAGGGGCACAGGCATCTGTTGAGGGCTTCCTTGTGCCAGGCCCAGAATGAGCACTGTATTCATTCACCTCACTGCCTGTGCCCTTAGGGCACCCCAACCAGAACATTAATAGTGACGCCACGGCCGATGCCCAGGCAGGCTTATTACAGGATCACGACGCTACAAGACCACAGCACCGGAAGCCTATGCACCTCCCAGCACTTTGAGAGGCCGATGCAGGTGGATCACGAGGTCAGGAGTTCAAGACCAGCCTAGCCGATACGGTGAAACCCTGTCTCTACTAAAAATACAAAAACTAGCAGGACGTGGTCGTACGTACCTGTCGTCCCAGCTGCTTGAGAGGCTGAGGCAGGAGAATCTCTTGGACCCGGGAGGCAGAATTTGCAGTGAGGTGAGATGGTGCCACTGCACTCCAGCCTGGGCAACAGAGCTAGACTCCGTCTCAAAAACAAAACAGAAACAAAACAAAAATCCGTAAAAAATAACACACACCACAAGATGATGCCACTAGAAGAGCATGCCACTATAGCAAGACCACGTGGTCATCTTGGTAAAGCCATCGCGACTTTACACGGCTCAGGGAACCCTCCTAACTGGGACTGTTCTAAGCGCCTGACATGAAGTCCCTTAACTCTCAGAGCAAGCTACAGCCCCCGGGTGCTCCAGCGATCACTGTTTTATCGACGAAGAAATAGAGGCAGACCGAGGGTAAGTAACTTGCCAAGACCTCCTGAGAGGTGGGGCCGGATTCCAACCCAGGCAGCTGGCTCCAGAACCCACCCCGTCGGTCACCCAAGCTGTTGCTTCCAATCCGCACCTTGCAACAAGAGAACCGAAGCTCAGAGAGCGGGGGCAGCCCTGACTCTGGCATCCCCAGCCTTCCCCTTCTCCCTGGCTCCCGAAGGCTCCCGGTGCTGGGACGCCAGAAGCTCCCGATGCCCTGTGAATGCAGAGAGTCTGAGGGTCTGCAGCCAAGCCACTGGGTAGCAGCACCAGGGCTGCGCTCTGAGATGGAGGCCGGCCTTCCTTCCTCCCTCCCTCCCTCCCTCCCTCCCTCCCTCCCTCTCTCTCTCCCCCCACTTTCTTTCCTTTTCTTTCTTCTTCATTTTTTTTGAGACAGAGTTTCACTCTTGTTGCTCAGGCTGGAGTGCAATGACGTGATCTTGGCTCACTACAATCTCCATCTCCCGGGTTCAAGAGATATTCCTGCCTCAGCCTCCCAAGTAGCTGGGATTACAGGCATATGCCACCATGCCCAGCTAATTTCGTTTTTTAATAGAGATGAGGTTTTTCCAAGTTGGTCAGGCTGGTCTCAAACTCCCGACCTCAGGTGATCCACCCGCGTCAGCCTTCCCAAAGTGTTGGGATTACAGGTGTGAGCCACCACGCCCGGCCGAGACTGAGGGTTTCTGAGGTCACCAAGAAACATGCTCACCAGACTTCCAAGCCCCTATGCCACTAGGGGGTTCCCAACAAGATTCAATTTTAAGACACAAGGAAAAAGAGAGATGTGGTTAAAAGAAAAAAAAAAAAATAAGGGCTTGTCTTGTCACCAAGAAGCCACCTCTTTGTTCAGCTAAACCATGTCTTCATAATGGCCCAGGATTCTGATTCACATTTCTTGCCTCTAATCCAAGAGATGGCTGGGCCTACTCAGCGTTGGCCCCCTGTGGCTCCTCCTGGGGTTAAGGATGAGAGTGTTGAAGCAGGACACCCTGACCCTGCTGTCTGAGCCTGTGGGTGACCCACACTGCCATCTGACCTGGATAGCAGCACATTCACTTGGCATCAGTACCCTGCCCATTTCTGTGTGGGTCTTTCTGTCTTGAGGAGCCCTCCCTGCCATCTGCTGGGCCTGGAGAAGGTCTTCATGAATGAACGAGTGAGTCTCCTCCTCTACGGGAGTCTCATGAGAGCTCTATTCTTCTCACAGATGTCCCAGAAGATGGTTTTGTTCATGTCCAGAAATGTCCACAACAAGGGGTACCCGGAGAGGGCCTGGCATTCCTCCTTCCTTCTCATCACCCGCCCCTCCTGGTATCTGCGCCCTGGCTTGCTGGGTGTGAGAAGGAAAGCTGGCACCACCCCACGCTGCCTGCCTCTGCCAGGCGCTTCTGCGTTACCGTCCCCAG